ATATCGTGTAATTCAAGCGGACTCTTTAAATTAAAATTAACAGATGCTACTAGCTTAGCCTTCAAAAGACAAAAAACCTCTTTAACTTCCACGTTAATAAAATATGATAATCATTGTAATCGGAGTCCCCAGACGAAGTTTATTGTCTCATCTACAAGAAAATAGACCATGAAGTTCAAAACAAAATGAACAAATGAAAAATGATAATCTCCTTCACCAGCAACTTTACATCAATTTTCTCCATGAATATCGTTCTCAGTCATTTGTTTTTCTGGAAACGGTGATGGCTGGCCCTATTCGATACATTTAGCTCTGATCACTATAATCATATCAACATCTTCCGTCCAACTCAAATGTGTTCAGGCTACTCCAAATCTTAGACTACAAGCATTCCTTCCTTTTTAATGAAGTCTGTCGCGCTAGTCAAAAGAAAAATCAGCAAAACAATTCACATTTGAACACTGCACACAACTCTGGGAGTAAGGCGCACTTAAAGTGGGGATTGCAGAGTAAGCCAATGGGTTTAACCTGTGCTCACTACGCACAAATATGATTGGCTACAGCCGATTAAGAAGCGGTGATGCATGTCAACTTCCTGTAACACTGCAAAGTAATTCGAGTGTTCATAACAATATACCAGAGAACATTGAAAAGTTAGCATTCCAGGCAGGAAACAGTATGCTGTTCGTAAAGATCTTTTCCCGCGCGTCGCAAAAAATGTTTTTGAACAATTTCTCGTGTATTTGTCCTAGGACAGTATCTATTATTCGAAGCTCACAATTTTCCTCGAGCTTCGCCGGCTTTGTGAAAAACTGATCGCATGTTGGAACAGATAATGTTTGCGGACAAATATGTGTATATTTTTTTGCTAAATGGAGGCTATTTAACGACTATTCACCGAACTGGAGGTGGTTAGTGGTGGATATTTACCGAGCCGCGAAGCGGCGAGGTAAATATCCACTGCTAACCACCGACACTGAGGTGAATAGTTGGTTTAGTATATACTAAAACAGTGAGATAATATACACCACCAAAAATTGATTTTAATTCATACATTCCAGCAAAGATTCCAACATTTTCCCGCGCGTAACGATCCAACGAGGCTCGGATCGGGGTAAGTGATTTTTGTTTCGCAAAAACTGCCGTCTTGCTTTTTCGCTGACAGATAAAATTTCTGAAGACGTTTGTTTAGCTCTGGTGGCGACATTTCTTCAAATTAAATGGTGTTGCAAACTCTTTCTGTATTTGAAACCATTCTGTAAAAGATACCATTCAACTTTGATTTTCAAGTGAAGGTTACGCAAGATTAATTTGCATTTATAAACAAAACCTTTTTTATTGGTTTTTATCGATGAACTCCCGGTTACCATTACCTTTAAACACGGTCAAACCAAATTTAGTCGCTTTCTCTGTGTTTTCAGGAACTGCTTCGTCGTTATTTTTC